ATCTGGATCCATATTATAAGTCCTACATAAATGAAGAAAAGTTGAGGTGCCTTTATTATTCTTTTCTTCCACTCTTTGTTTCTATGGGGAATTTGCCAATGCAATATCATTGTCTTCCTTTTAAAGAAACAAAACTTAAAAAAAAAAAAAAGTAAATGGCTGTTGAAAATAACAATTCCAGTCCCAGTTAGCACTGGGAAGACCCCAGCATTTCTTGCTCAATTTTATCCTACTTTTTCTACAGCCAGTTACAGTGGATCAGTATATTTGATTTGGGAGAAATGAAGTAACAGCTGCCCAAACTGAGCTTGAGCACTCCTGAATTTTTGAGGGGTTCAAATCTGGAAGGCAGGTGCTAGATTCCCTTTCTGAATATTGGATAAATCTGGAAAGGCAAAAGTCAATTTCTGCTTCCATGGCTCAGAAGTGGAAATCCTCCTGCATACCTGGTACTGTACCTAAAGCTGCCCAGGTGCTCTAGTAGAGCCTCCCCTCCCTTACTTTTCATTTTAACTTCTCCTAGTGGGGTCCACATACCTCCCCTGCTAGGCTTCAGATAGAGAGGTGCAGTGTCCATTCATTCCACCTAGTTCCTTCTTTGGGGGCTGCCAGGCGAGGTCACACCAGCATCCCTAATCCAGTCTGGGGAAGTCTTCTGAGGGTGATATCTTCTACTTAAGGTGACCAGATGTCCTGATTTTATAGGGACCGTCCCGATTTTTTAGGTCTCTTTCTTATACAGGCTCCTATTACCCCCACCCCTGCCCTGATTTTTCACACTTGCTGTCCGGTCACCCTACTTCTACTCCTAGGGCACATTTGTTCCCCATTCACCCTGCCACCCCCTTCTAGCAGCCAGCTCCCCACCCACAGCAAGCGCATGGGGTGCCCGCTTCCCCACTCCCTTCCCCTCCCTTTCCTGAGGATAGCTGCCAAGGGAATGCTGGGAAATGTAGTTCCTTCCCTGCTCCAGGGCCGGCTCTCTAGGCAGGGAGCTGGCCAAGGAACTACAGCTCCCAGGCTGGATCCCTGCTGCCGCTCCGGGAAGCGTGTTATGGGCCCCTTTGGCGCTTGGCCCGGTGCCATGGTGAATCTGGTGCTGCTGGCCTGTGAATGGGGTGCGGGTGGGACTTGGGACAGGCCGGGTGTGGGGGGAAGGACCGATAAGTGACCAGCTGCTGCCATTGCAGCACCGAGCACGGACTCTGGTGCCATAGAGGGGCCTGTGGCACCTTTAAGGCTAACAGAAGCATTGGAGCATAAGCTTTCGTGGGTGCACTTGCGTCTGAAGTGGGCATTCACCCACGAAAGCTTATGCTCCCAATACTTCTGTTAGCCTTAAAGGTGCCACAGGACCCCCTGTTGCTTTTTACAGATTCAGACTAACACGGCCACCCCTCTGATACTTGACTCTGGTGCGTCTGTCTCTGGCTCTCAGCCCCACTCCCCTATGGCCCCGCGTACTGGGACACACAGGGCAGGGTGGGGGGGCTGCTGGGCTGATCCCTGGCAGAGGTGCCAGGGTGATCAGGTTGGGGGGAGGGGTGCAAACAGCCCATGATGCTGCATTGGGCAAGGTCCTAACTACCCCACCCTCCTGCCCCTTGCCAGTGCTGATAGGGTCCCCTTCCTCATGCACGACGAGACGCTCACCCGGACCACCAACGTGCAAAAGGTGTTCAATGCCCAGGCCACCATGAGCGGCACAACCTTCAACTGGACGGATCTCCAGCAGCTTGACGCCGGCAGCTGGTTCCTGGAGGTCAGGCCCCCCTCCTCGGGGCGTGGTAGGGCTTCTGCATGGCCTGGCCCTGCGCTGCCCTGCAGAGGGCTCTGCCTGCTGCACTGATCCAGGCTGCTCTTGGCAGAGCCCTGGGGCCAGCCGCTCAGAGCCCTCCGGGGTTCCCAGGCCCTGGAGAGTTTTGCCTCTGCAGACTATAGTGCCTCCCGCTGTGGGGTGGGGGTGGGGGGCTACCTTCCAAGCCTCACTGCTAGAGCTGGGAGTTGCTGTGACCTTCCGGAGGCCTGGGGAAGGCTGGCTGGGAGGGGTGAGCCGTTCCCTGGCGGTGCTGTTTGGCTGGGCTCAGTGCCTGCCTACACAGCGATGCTTTGGTTAGCACCCAACTGCCTAGCTGCTCTGGTCTCCTGCAGGTGGCAGGGCGACCTGTCCTCCCTCTGTGCTCTCGCCCTGGGGTCTGAGCAGCTGCTGTGCCGTGCTAGTGAGGGGCAGTGAGCACTGGGGGCGCTGTCGGCACAAGGGAGAGCACCCTGTGCCTTTGGCGCTGGGAGATGGTGTTGAGGGGGCAGCGTGGGAGGCCAGGGCCCTGGGGCCAGCTGTGAGCGCTGCCCCCCACGTGGGCTAGCTGCTGACTCTGGCCTGTCCCTTCCAGAGGAATCCGTTCCACTCGGTGCAGGGCCTCTCCAGCGAGGCGCAAGGCCAGGCGCGGGCACAGAAGATCCCGTCTCTGGAGCAGGTGCTGCAGGAGGCCAAGCAGCACAACATCTCCATCATGTTCGACCTCCGTCCTGAGAACCACACGGACTACCAGAGCTTCGTTAATGTCACCGTGGCGACCATCCTGGAGTCGGGCATCCCGCCGCAGCTGGTGAGCCTGGCGCTGCCCCTGGAGTCTGACGCCTGATGGGCAGCCGGAGGAGGGAATGGCTGAGCATCAAGGCCAGACGTCCTCCCCCAGGGGTCCCTGAGCCTGCCCTTTACCAGCGGTGAGCTCCCCTCCCGACAGGGCGGGTCAGACCCACCTGGTGCTCTAGAGTCTCCCTGAGCGTGCTCAGTCTGCCCTTGCCATGATCCCAGGTACACACGAGATGCTTGAGCGTGTCCTCGCCTGTTGCAGGTCCAGCCCTGACCCGTGTCCGCGATAGGCTGCCGGACAAGCTGCTGCCCTGAGCCCGTTCCTAGTGGCCTGGGGTGCTTTGTAGTACGGATAATGGGCAGGGAGAGGTGTAAACTTACTTGGAACTCCCTGCTCAAGTGCCACTCCCCCCCCCATGTGTAAACAGGGACTCAGGAGAGCCCTGGCAGTGAGCCAAGTTGGTGAGGAAGCAGGAAAATCCACGAACAAGCTGCCACCTTCGTACTCCCTGCTGCTACCACACCCTGCAGCTCCATGGTTCCCTGACGCTACAGCCTCACTTTCGTTCCCTCCGCCCCTAGCCCTAGCCCTTGGGTGCTGGATGTACATAGCCTGCTGAAACCAGCCTGGCGGCTGGCTTCACTGCCCCTTCCTGCTCCTGCTCACCGGTTAGGGGAGAAATTGTTTACTTTGCAGACAGAACATGCCCTGGAGTAAAGGGCCTGTGGGCTCTCTGCCCCGTGGGTGCCCTCTGCCCATGACCAGGGCACTGGGACAATGTGTACAGTGGGGGGGGGGCTGAGAGCCATTGAACCAAACTGTAAACCCTGCATATGATGGAAAGCATGTCAAGCCAGGGGGTGCTGCACCCCTAGTTCCAGCACCTGTGCCCAGGACTCGCTGGGTGCAGGGGCTCTGAAGGGGTTGTTGGGGCTCTGAGCCAGCCCAAAGTCCCAGGCACATCTTGGCCGGTCCTAGCTAGCCCCCATCATGCCTCGTCCAGGTCTGTCACTCCCAGACCTGCTGGGGGAGACTCCCACGGCAGGTGGCCTGATGGGGACTCTGCTGGGGCCAAGAACCGGATGGGCGCACAGAGAGGGGGCTTGGTAACTGCTTCCACTTGGATGCACACATCAGTGCGGCTGGCCCTGCAGCCTGGGTCCCAGAGCACAGCGAGTGCCCCCTGGTCTCCCAGCTCACACCAGGCCTGACTTCCCCCCCCGCCCCCCAGATTCTCTGGCTGCCCGACGGGTTCAGGGAGCAGGTCAGACAGCAGGCACCAGGATTTCAGCAAATCTACGGTCTGAAGAGCAGCTGGAATGAAACAGAGTCTCCACTGCGACTGAACCTGCCGTACCAGGACGTCAGCACAGAGCAGATTGGGTGAGAGCCCCTTGTCAGGGTGCAGAGCACAGAGCAATGGTGCCTCAGCCCCGTAGAGGCGAGTCTAGCTCCCCACTGTGGCCACGTACACACCCTGATGCCACAGCTGGCAGTAGGACTCGAACCCCAAGTACGGGAGCGCTGGGTGGGAGCCGGGCTTTCCCAGTTCCTGCTGGCCTGTGCCACACTAACGAGGCTCCATCCCCTCCGCAGCCGGTATCGCCAGGACAACGTCTCCGTCAATCTGTACGTGGTCAATGAGCCCTGGCTCTTCTCCGTGCTGTGGTGCGCGGGGGCCGGCTCCGTCACCACCAACGCCTGCCAGGTGCTGAAGGAGATGAAGCGCCCCCTCTGGCTGCTCGTAAGTGACCCTACCCTGGGTGGCACTGGCAGAGGCTGCATGCCCTGAGCCCGTCTGGCCCGTCTGCACTACCACACCCCAGCAAGGGGGCCAGGGGGTGCTGCCAGGGCCTGTTCTGCCGGGGTCCCCATTGAGCTACTCGTCCTATCTTGTTGCCTTGCAGCCCCGCAACACTTATCTGATGGTCTGGATTGTGATCGACTGCGTCTCCTTCCTCCTGCTCCTCTCGGCCTTCCTCCTGCTGCAGTAAGTTCAGCCTCTTCTGGGCTCCCGTAGCTGTCCATGGCATAGGAGGCCCCATGTCTGCTGCCCTCTGGGTGAGCTGTAGGTAGGGCAGGGTCTGCCCGGCCAGGTGCTGCTGCCATCACCCATCCACCCTCTTGATCTGGGGGAACTGCTCCGCAGCGCTGGGAGCCCACTTCTCCCACCCTGCACTGCGCTAACCTGGGACACAGCGGGCTTAGAGGGAGCTTTCCTCCCTGGCCTCTGCCGTGAGCCCGGCCCTGAGCCGCTCCATCCCACTGCTGTGGGACTTGGTCACAGCTTATTGGCCCCCACCTATACGCTGAGCAAGGTGGGCCTGGCATGGGAGCCCTCCAAGGGGACTCGTGTGACACCATTGCCCTGGGACCCTCCATGGCTCGTTATGGTTTGCAGGCACTCCCGTCCCGTTCCAGCCATGGCAGAAAGGCCTCTACCAACTCTGAGTTCAAACCACAGTGGCCAAGTGATGGGGCAGAGCCCTGGGGGAGCGGCCCTGGCCCTGAGTGTGGGCTGACCTCTCTGCGGAAAGGACTGAATGCTGACTCGCTCTCCTGAGTGAATTTCAATCCTGTTTGCTTTCCAGGAAATGCTCCAGGAGAAAAGAACCGGCAGGTAATGGGCCCCTGCTCCCCACCCTGCTCCCCCCTTAAGTCCCTTTCCTCACCATGCCCTCTTGCTCCTGGTCTTCCCCCTCCCTCTTCCTCTCAGATCAGTCTCTCTGCTCACCTGCAGGGCCAGGCCCTTGCCACAGCTTAGCTCCCAGGGGCTCTCCACACCCCAGGCTGGGGAGCTTTCAGGGGGCTCTGCCAGGAGGACAGCCTGGGCCCAGAGCCTAACTCCCCTGACAGAGAGAGGGAGCTGCACCTTCTCCCCTCTCTGTGGGGAAAAGGGGAGGGAGCCCAGCCAAGGGAGCTCCCATCCTGCCTGCTTTCCTAGCAAGTGCTACTCCCTGAGATGATGGGAGTGTAGGGGGGCCAGGCAGCGCCTCCTGCAGCAGCAGCTGCCTTCCACCCCACGATTGTTGCTGGGCTGGGGCAGCCCTGGGGAGGGCAGAGGCTCCTGGAATGACCCTTTCTCCCATTTGGTTCCCCAGAGTCCAAGTCGGACGTGCTGCTAACGAAGATCAACAGTCTCATGCAGGAATGACGCCCAGCCCCCGCGGTGCCTGGTGGTGGAGGGGTTTGAGCTGGGCACAGGTGGTGGTTAGCAGGGAGCGCCCAGACTTGCTCCTGCCAGCCTTGAATGCCCTTTCCTCTGCAGGGCCCTTTCCAGGCCGTGGGCTCCCCACAAACCCTCAGTCTCTGCCCTGTTCTGCAGGGGGCTGGGGCTGGGTTTATCCTGCCCCCATGGGCACAACTCCCCTGCAGGTCAGGGGCCTGTGCAGAACCCCCCTGGTGATGAGTCTGTGTCCTAGAGTAGACAGGCGTGCGTTCCCCTGCCCACGGGGACAGAGCTGGGGGTGGACACCGAGATCTTGGCCTTGCAGCCTCCTGGGGCTGTGGGAACAGATACTGTCTTGGAGGCTCCTCGGTTGTGACCTGCTGTGCAGGTGCACTTGTACCACAGCAGGGACCGGTGCAGCTGCTGCTGCTGTGAACTGGCTTGTCCTGTCTCCTGAAGCGTGAGAGAGGCTGCTAGGAGCCTGAAGGGTTTCGTTTACAGGGAGCCAGGTTTAAAGCCTTGTGCCATAGGGGAGCCTAGGACTAGATTGCTTTGGGCTGTGTCTGGGGAAAGGTGAAAGGGCAGGAGCGCATCGCAGGCCCAGGCAGTAGGGCTGCAGGTGGGGATCCTAGTGCAGCAGGATGGAAACGAAGGGTCCCTCACTGAGCAGAGGAAGCCCATTATCCTCCTTGAGCCTTTGACACTGGCCGCTAGGCAGGTGTGCGGGATGCAACAGTAGGCCCAGCCCCATGAGACCCCGACCCTGCTTGTCTAGTGGAAGAGATGGGGTTTGGCTTTGGATGGAGGGGATTGTGTGGGGGGCTGTCTTTCCATAGAGAACACAGGTGCTGGGTGAAGGCCCCCAAAGCACCATCCCTGGACTGGGTGTGACGCTATCCTGCTGGGGAGGGGTATGCTGGGGCATGAAGTGGCCTCTTTGCTGCAGGGGTCTCAGCAGCATGTGTCTATTTTACTTGTTCTTAATTATGTATGTTAATAAACTGACCCACTTGGATAAAAAACCCAAACAACTAGCACGTCTGAGCTGATTGTGAACTCCCCCAAAGGGACCCCTGGCTCTAGGAGCTGGCATCCGTCAGCTCTTCGGGGGCAGGCCCTGTCTCTCGCCTGTCTGGAAAGCCCCGGGCCCAGCAGGGATGCTATACCAATTAGATGAGGAATCCCTGCTTATACTAGTGAGGTCAGAGTGTCAAGCAACAGCTCCGAGCCGGGGCCTCACCACACTGAGAGCGTGAGTAGGGGAGATCCTAGCTCTGCGCTGGGCCTGCTGGGGGCCTGGGCTCCTCCCATCCCTGCTCCATGCTCTGCTTTCCCCATCTGTAAGAGCCGGAAGCTGCAGCAGGCTGGAAGGATTAGTTGATGGTGGGTGGTCAAGTGCTGCCTCTGCTGGGATGTGCAGAGTCATTGATGGCAGCCCTGAGCAGTTTGCTCAGCAGGGACAGAGTGCCCACAACAGCGCCAACAGACACGTGCTCTCACTGAACAGTGCCCCTGACTTTGGGTACCCACCTCAGGCCTGATTCCCAGGGGCCCATCAGGATCTGTAGGAGCTTGGCACGTCTGCACATCAGGCCTGAGGTGGGCATCAGCATTAGGAACTACTTTTGGGAAAATTGGCCCTTTCTGTGGGTAAGGATGGGAAAAGCAAACACGGGAGCTGTGCTATCTGTGTTCTCTCACCACCACCTAGTGCCGAAACGAGGAACTGGCACCTCCTCTTACTGCAGCGTTGTAGCCGGGTCGGCCCAGTACCTCGCCCACCTTGTCTCTAGCTATCCTATGTTATTGAACCAACCTCTGTTAGTGGGAGACAAGCTGTGGAGATCCCTCTGTATCTGACCTATCTGTCCCCCTCCTCGAAGGAAACCTGTGCACGACCTTCAACAGACGAGCCGGGGAGCTTAAATTCATAACTGGACTGAACACAGACACTGGAGTTATGGCTCGTTACAATGATCTTTAACCCACTAACTCCTCTTGGTCCCATGACTGGGATGTTAACAGGCCACTGTACCTTGACTGGTGCCTTAGAATATGTGCCAGCTTAGCATAAGTCATTATCTGTTCCCCTTTGTACTGAGCTAGGACACGGAGTTCCTTTCCCAGGCCTGGACAAGAGCTCCCTGGAGCGCCAAAGTTTTGTCTCTCACCAACAGAAGTTGGTCCAATAAAAGAGATTCCCTCACCCCACTAGAGTTAAAACACTCCAAGCTGGGGGGAGGGAGAATGGAGTGGGAACAGGCCCAGCAGTGACAAGTGTCAGTTTTAAAGTTGTTTCCAGTACAAGCTGTGACTGCAGCGGGTCTAAGCATGCAGGGTTGGGGCTGGAGCTGGGCTGTGGGCCTCTGCCTGAATCAACTGGCCTTTGGGGGAGCGTGAGGGAAAAGAGGAGGCCCCTGACAGCAAAATCTCTAGGACCCCTGTCGACCTGCCTCCTTGCTCAAAGCGTGGGAGTCTGTGTGACTAGTAATAGCCCAGCTCCAGAGAAAATAGGTCTGAATTTAGCAGCGTACAGAGGTACTGAGTGTGCACCTCAGAAGCTGAAGTTGTGAATGGTCTGGGCCCCAGAACACTTTCCAACCTATACAGGCAACTTTCCAAATACTCTGGGTTCCTGCTGTACTCCCTGTAAAATGCTCTCTGCACCGGGGAGCTGGCTCTCCTCCATCTCTTCTCGAGTGTATGAAGTTCTGATGCCTTCTGTTTTCTACGTACGGCACCTTTCAATGGCTAAGCCCCTCTCTCTGTAGGAAGGTTCAGCAACCATCTTGTTCTCAGTTGCTGCAGCTCGGTACAGAGGAGGGATGAACACTGTGAGGGACAGTTTGCAGACAGGGCCGGCTTCAGGCACCAGCGAAGGAAGCAGGTGCCTGGGGCGGCACATCTGGGTCTTCGGCGGCATTTCGGTGGCAGGTCCTTCACGCCCTCTCTTCCTTTCCAGTGGCATTTCGGTGGCAGCTCAATCAGGGTTGTTGTTTTTTTTTCTTTGCCGCTTGGGGCAGCAAAAAAGCTGGAGCCGGCCCTGTTTGCAGAGGCAGTAGTGGGGGGAACCACCCCTCCTTGCTGGATCCATCCTAGGCTCTCCCTGTACCCCTAGGCCACTGCCCAGCCTGCTTAGGCACCCTGGGCAGCTGCCTTGCTCTGCTGTACTCTAAGCTGCAGCTCTCGATCCCAGTCCAGTCCGACTGCTGCTCTCTCCATAGCAGTGGTGTCCTGCTACCTCCGCCTAGCTTATGGGGTCTTATTGTCCCAGACTGCAGCACTGCACTTTGGCAGCCCGCTGTCCCTGCGTGCCTCCTGCTGGGGCCTCCAGCTAAAAGCTGTGATGGGCACCCTGGCTTCCTGCTGCGCTACTTTTGAGATCGTTCTCTCTCCCTCTCCATCCCCTTGAACTGAGTGTTAACCAGGCTTGTTGTAGGAAAAGTTGCTGCCGCTCAGTCATCACACTGTCCATCGTCCCCTCCCAGTTCTGCCCCTAGGGGCTGGAACTAGGGGTGCTGGGGGAGCTGCTGCACCCCCTGACTTGAAGTGGTTTCTATCATATGCAGGGGTTACAGCTTGGTTCAATAGCTCTCAGCCCCTCCACTGTACACGCTGTTCCAGTGCCCCTAGTTCTGCCTCCCTTTCACCCCTCGATCCTGACCTTCAGCCCTGGACTCTCCTATCCAGAGCTCTGCCAGTGCCCCTCAGGCCTGAACCATAACACCCCCAACTCCCCCACCTCCGTTATCCCAGCCATAGGCTTCCCCCAGCTCTCCTAATGGTACGCACGTGCTGAGGGCCCCCCCCCCACACCTCTGACCCTTAATTCCCAGACCAGCTTGCACTAGTTGGGGTGAGGTCAAATTATGTGAAGTGATTTTGGTGAAGTCCTATTAGTGCAGAGGCCCCCAACCTGTGGGGCATGCTCCCCTGGAGGGCACAAAGGAATGTTTGGGGGCAAGCAGCTGGGGCCTTGGCCAGCCCCTACAGGGTGATTGGGAGGGGGGGTGTACCACCCAGCTCTGCTCCTAGCCCTGCCCCCAACTGTGGCCCCAGCCTCTTATCCCTGCCTGTGTCCCTCCCCCCCCGCCCCTGAACTGCAGCCCCACTTCCAGCCCTGGCTCAGGGGGAGGGGCATGGACGGGGTAATGGGGGGGGGGGCACAGCATGAAGGTGACCAGCGGGCAAGTGTGAAAAATTGGGACATTGTTTTTTTCTGCGGGAGGGTGTGACGGGTGTCAATGTAGGCAAAGCCCCTAACATTGGGGTGCCCGGTCCCCCAAAGTCCCACCCCACTGGCTGCAGGGCCTGGCTTCCCTCTCCTCTGGCAGTGCCGGGGTTAATGTCTGGCCTGGCCCAGCCCCACCTTTAGAGCCAAGCCCTGAAGTGCTGACAAAGGCGGCAGGGCTGGGCCAGGCCCGGGTCCAAGGGGCTGTGCGGGGCCAGGCCCCCCTTCCCCGGCAGCACAGGGCCCTGCTGCCAACACTGCAGGCCAGCCCTCCTCCATGGCTGGGCCCGCCCCTGAGCCCAGCCCGGCCCCCTCCACTCCACACAGCCCAGGGCGACAGCAGGGAGCCTCGGCTCACCACTTCCCTGGCCAGGCAGAGTTGGCTGTGCCCGCCCGAGGGGCTCGCCTGGGGCTGCCCCGGGGCACGGTCCCAGCACCGCCAGGCTGGGCGCTAGCCGGGGGGAGAGGCCCAGTTTCCAGACTGCAGGAGCTGTTGCAGCTGGAGCTGGGGAAGGAGGCAGCCAGCTCCTTGTATCGCTTTCCCGGGGCAGGGCCAGGCCGGGGGGGTCCCAGCCGCTTGCTGCCTCCAGGGCCCGGCCTGTGGGGCTGACATGAGGGCAGGCGCCTGGAGGAAACGGCTGCGAAGGGACCCGCAGCCCTGCCAAGCGGAGAGATGATCAGTCGGCAAGGTAAGGACTGGAGCCCAAGCCCTGGCCAGGCGGCCGGGGCGAGGGCAGGAGACACTGGCACTGGGGGCAGCCAGGGAGGCGTAGAGCCGCAAACAGCCCTGCCCGGAGCTGCCTGGGCAGGGTCCCACACCCAGAGAGCAGGAGCTTTGATTCGACACCTGCCTTCGGCTGTGAGACATCAGGGCCAGGTGCAAGGAAAGCTCCCCCAGCTGGGCAGAGCGGGCTCCTTGTCCCCAGGGCCGAAGAGCCGGGCTGGGGCCCAGCGACACCTGGGAGTGAGGATGGGCTCTGGCTGCAGAGCGGCTCTGCCCGGTGCCAACCCCACTGGGATCCCAGAGTGCGGGTGAGTTCGGGGCACTGGCGGGTCGGAAACCTGAGGAACTGCCCTGCCCTGGGCTGCTTTGCCCAGAGGTGCCTCTGCAATTCCTCCTGCACGGGCTGCCGTAGCGACCCCCTGCCCCTCCTGCTGGCCCCGCAGTTCCCAGCTCTGCCCACCACAGCCCGGGGCTAACGCCCAGGTGCCCGCCAGGCCATGCCTGACTGGAAAAAGCCCAGCGGCTCCCCTAGGCATGTCCGCCAGGGCACCTCCGCCAGCCAGCTCCAGGAGACGCTGCAGCCTCAGCGTGAGCGAGGCCCAGAGACCCGGGGCACGGACTGGGCCACGGGTGCTGGCACCGGCAGGGTCCTGCTGGTCTCGGTGTGCTGAGGGCCTGAGCTGGCAGCTGTGTCTGGGGGTCAGCTGTGAGCTCACCCCCCGGTGCTGGTCCCTCAGGCCTTTAGCTCTTCGCTAGCGGGCGGGAGGCACCAGGGCTCAGGCTCTCTCCCGTCACTGCTGCATCCACCAGGCCTCATGGGGCTGTCGTGTGACATGTTTCCCTGGAGTCCAGTTTTGTCTGTGGTCATAGGCCGGGGGTAAAGTAAGCGGGAACACCCTCTTCTTCCTCCCCTCTGGGGACATGGCCCTCCCCTCCTCCTGGTCTGGTGTGGTGAGAGCTTCAGGCTGCGTTCCCTTCTGATTGTATGTGACCACATGGGAGCGAGGCCAAAGTGGGACCCCGTTGTCACAGAAGGAGGAGATTCTGGAGCAGAGGTTCTGTTTTGTGGGGTGCAG